CAGACACTATAGGGTCCGAGGGGTATACATCGGCCCCTCCACTAGCCTCCTGCTGCATTCAAGGGACAGTAAACGAGATGTATGGGGACTCCTGGTGGCTTAAAGCATCCTGTTGGCCACGGTGTGTGTGTGTTGGTTGACTGTCCCCCGAGGGTCCATGAGCCATTGAAGGCTCATCTGCAGGGGCAGCATTGGGAGTTGCTATGAACCTTTAAAAGATCGGGTCTAGTGGAAGGTCCACTGGGTCTGTGCCTGCAGAGGAATCATGGGACTCCTGTGTGTGTGTGTCTCTCTCTGTCTCTGTGACTTGGTGTTTGCCAATGTCAGCTCACACACACACACGCGCACACACACACACACACACACCCTTCCACGTTGATATAACACAGCCAGGAACATACCCAACACCATGCCCTTGAACCACCTCCACTCTGAGCCAAATAAACCTCTTTGCTTCATAAGCAGCCTGTCTCAGGCATTTTGTTGTAGTAACCCAATGCTGACAAATACACTTTCACAACAAATTTGCTTTTTTAAGTAGAACACTCTGATGATCAAAAATAGAGAAAACACCCAGAGCAGCTCCCTAGTTGTGACCCTTGTGTATTGTGTACCACGTGTAATTTGCACGAGCTACGCTTTCACATGAGTGGCCGCACAGTGGGTGTGTTCACACCGACATTGCCACGGCACCCCGATGCTGCAGGTTCGGTGGCCACAACCTCACTAGGCAGTAGCAACTGGGGCTCCATCACCACCTTGTGGGACCACAGTCGTCGCGTGGCCCGTGGTGGGGCTGGTATTGAGCCTTTGCCTCCATAGCAAATGCAGAGTCTTTGGCAGGACACGCGTGGCCCCTGTGTTCTGGTTCTAGGCCATCTTCCCATTCCCCCAGCCTCGGCTATTCCCACAGGCCCTCCCGGACCTCCACCTCTGAAGGGTGCTCTGGACCCCTCTGTTCCTTCCGTGCGCTGTTCCTGTGGCCAGGAGCCCCCCTCCCCCCTTCCTATGCACCTGGCAGCTCTGGCTCATCCCCAGGAGCATCCACCAGCACCACTCCCTTTGGCTCCCTTCCTTGGATGTCCCCAGCACTGAGGACGTCTCTCCACGGAGAGTCACTGCCACCGTCCTGTTTTGTCAGCCACTGAGCGGCTCCGGGGCAAGGCCCACATCTCAGTGACCTAAAGATGAATGGCAGAATAAAAATCGGATAAATGGAAAGGAGAGATGATCTCGTGGGACTGGTTGTCAGTCAGGATGAACAGAGATCTGAAGTAAGTGGCTTAAGGACATGAGTGGCTCAGTCTGGGGCCAAAGGAGTTTGGAGGTAGATGGTGAAGGGATGATGGGGGGTAACGCGTAGCTTTCCTCTTCAGGGTAACCTCATGCCTCAAAATGGCTGCTGGAGCTGCAGCCATCTCATCCCATCCGGACAGGAAGGGTAGTGGCTAAAGGAAAAGTGTTTTTCTACGAAGGCAGCCTCCTGTGAAAGACAGCTCAGGGTCTTGTAGCCAACAGCTCTCGTCTTCCTCTGCCTGGCCAAACTAGTCACGGGCGTGGTCACTTCTAGCTGAGCTTTGAAGAGATGTGACCATAAACAGGTCATGTAGCTGCTAGAATAGAGATAGCATTTCTTCTAAAAACCGCCTTTGGATCCGGATAGATATTTCTCCAAAGAAGATGCAGGCCTATAATCCTAGCAGCTTGGGAGGCTGAGACAGGAGGATCACAAATTGGAGGCCAGCCTCAGCAACTCAGTGAGGCGCCAGGCGACTCAGTGAGATCCTGTCTCTTAATAAGCAAGCATAGGAAGGTTCCTGCAAGGTGTCACTTCACATCCACTGGGATGTCCCCGGAATCCAAAAGACATAACAGGTGTGGACAAGGACATGGGGAAATCGGAGTCCTCACGACACTGCTGGTGGGACCACACAGGGTGCAGCCACATTGAGAAACAGGCAGTTCTTCAAAAAGGGACGCGTTGAGTTTTGGTACATGACCCAGCAGTACCCATGGGAACCAAAACCCTTCCCGTGCCCTCGCCAGCAACTCTGTGACAAGCCTGTCGGCTGGGGCCACCAAACTTGGATAGCAGGGACGACTTGTGGACCCAGCCTGCAGAAACTTGTGTGTGCACTGGTCACCGCGTTGCTCAAAATCGCGGGAAATCGGAAACAAACTGAAATGTACATCCACCGAGAAACAGGGCAGCGGATCGTGGAGTAATCTCTGTGCCCAGGAATCTTTATTCAGCCATAAAAAGTAACAAAGTTCTTCTGCCTGTCGCAGCACAGAAGAATCTCAGAAATGTCACACCAAGGGGGAAAAAAGGCCGGTCACAAAGACTACAGATTGTATAGATCCCTTTGTAGGGAATCCTAGAACAGGCAGATCTATAGAGAAGAAAGGAGACTGGTGGCCCCCCGGGGGTCAGGGGCCACGGGAGTGACAGCAAAGGGGCTTCTTCAGGGGCTGATGCGAGGTTCTAAACTTAGGGGACGGTGTTGGCTGGTCTCGGCCAACACTGAAAGCCCTTGTGCTCGTTCAGAAGGGTGGGTTGTGTGGGGTGTGTCCCAGGGAGACGCTTGGAAACCAGCTCTTCTGGGTTTGCCTGTCGCGTCTTCAAAATCAACCTCCAAAGAAAGGAACCGGTGGGGGGAGGTGGGGGAGGGGATGTTCCCAAACCAGCAAACAGGACAAGGACATTGGAGGGTTGTCTTCATCGTTATCCTCTGTTCCTTTGAGTCCTGACTTGGAAAGAAAGAAATGAAAAATCTACCCTGCAGGGTCAGGGTCAGGGTCAGGGTCAGGGCCCTCTGGCTGATTGCCCAGATGACCAAGACTCTAAGTGGTTCCTTTGTGCTGTGCACGCAACGTTTCCGCGTCTGCAAAGCAGGGAGGTCAGCAGACAGACCCGGGAGCCCCTTGATGTGCAAACCAGTAGAACATTAGGCTGCGCTCTGTGGGGTGCTCAGTGGATCCTTGGGAATTTCGTGGTTGATGGGTGAGCAGAGACGGCTGGAGGACATTGGGGAAGGTGTATGCTATTTGGAAAGGGGACCGTGCTTGGTGACGCCTGTCCCAGAGCTCTGATTCCCCCTGAGCAAGACGAGAAAGATGGGAAAGCCTTCTTCCTGCTGGTGGGTGCACAGGTGCGTGACCCTGAACCTGCTCCCGGAACACGGCCCGTGTGCGCTCCGGGGAGCTGGCCTGGAACAGGGAACTTGGGGTGGCTGCAGAGGGTGCTGTTGGAAAAGCAAATGAATGAGGGTCACCTGGGCAGTGACATGGAGGAGTGGTCAATGGGATGGCTGGATGGCTCAGGGCACTATCAAGAATGGCAGGGGCCGAGCATGGTGGCACAGGCCTGTCATCCCAGCAGCTTGGGAGGCTGAGGCAGGAGGATCACAAGTTGGAGGCCAGCCTCAGCAACTCAGTGAGGCCCTAGGCAACTCAGCGAGACCCTGTCTCTTAATATAAAGTACAGAGGGCTGGGGAGGGGGCTCAGGGGTTAGCTATGATGCTCAGGCTGGTCTTGAACCCCTGGTTCAGATGCTCGTCCCTCCTCCGCCTCCCCGTGGCTGGGACTGCAGGGACAGGCAGGCCACTGTGCCTGGCTCGTCATCTTATTTTTTGATGGATACGTTACCCCAGGACGTTATCGTGGGATTCATTTGGATCAGATGAATGAAATTCCAGGTCTGGTTACAAACTGTTCCAGGTGGGACACGAGGGATCCCCCAAATGTCCACGCAGGAGATGTTCGGAGATGAAGCGATTGGACAGGGAGACTGTGGCCCAGTCGGCCATCGTGGTGTGAATGGACAGACTGGGGGTAACAGTAGGCAGGTCGTGGGTCACTGGGGGGGTGTCTTCCTGTGGCCCCCTCCCCTGCTCTCTCTGCTTCCCGGCCTCTCTGAGGTGAGGAGCAAGCCCCCCACACCCCTCCACCATAATGCTCTGCCTCCCCAGGGCCCAGAGCCATGGAGCTGGCTGACCCTGGACTGAACCCCTGGCCCCACGAGCCAACACACACTTCCCCTTCTCTAAGCTGTCTCTGTTGGGTATTTTGGTCACAGCAGCGCCAAGCCAACACAAAAACCCAAGAAATGTATTGGTAGAATTTTTTTTCTATGCAATTTTTTGATTTTTGTTCATTGTTCTTGATGCTTCCTGCCTTCAACCCACGGTTGGGTTTGGGGATAAATTAACAAGGCCAGGAGCAGCCATCTGCTACTTCAATTCCCGCGACTTGGGAAACTGAGGTAGGAGGATCATAAGTTTCCGGGCTAAACTCAGCCACTTACCAAGACCCTGTCTCAAAGTAAAAATAAATAAACCAGCCGTGCGCAGTGGTGCCCACCTGTCATCCCAGCAGCTGGAGAGGCTGAGGCAGGAGGATCTCCAGTTCAAAGGCAGCCTCCGCAACTTGCTGGTCACTGAACTAGGAAAGTGCCTTCTCAGCAGGCTTTCCTGTCGGCCCTGGGACGTGCACGTTGGACAGTGCCACGCCTGTCCCCATGTGTGACCAGGACCTTCCCTGTCTCCCGTCTCTGGAGAGACAGCCAAAGCAATGTCCTTCTGTTTCCGTAGGCTTCTATCAATAGGCCACAAGTACGGCGTCCACCCTTGGATCTCTCAAAAGGTACCTGGGGCCTTGCTTTGTTCCCGGGCCTGAGTGTCCCCAGCCCCCAGACTCCTCCTGTGGGAGACTTTGGGGAACCACCCTCAGGCCCTTCAGGGAGAGACGGGAGGGTGGGCAGCCTTGGTCCTGCTGGGGGGACCCACCCAAGGTTCCTTCTCTTTCCCAGGGAGGAACCTCGGGATCCATGACCTGTAAAGGCCCCTTGAGCCCTGCCACTCTGTCTGTCCCCAAGGCTTCTCTGTAGATCAGGCCGTCTGCTCTCAGGCGCCCCTCGGAGCGCTCTGCGTCCTGACAGCGGCAGGTGTGTCCCCCTGAGATGGACAGTGTCACCTAGCAGCGGGCACACGTGGGCAGCATGAGTGACAAGAGCAACCGCGAGCTGTACCAGCAGTACACGGCCTTGGCCCCCAGGCTGCTGGCCCGGGTCTCCAAGCTCCTCATCCTGTGCCGCGGCGCGGGCATCGCTGTCCCCAAGGGCGTCAGGAACATCTTCGAGTTCACCTGGGAGGAGCTCATCACCGACCCCGCGGTGCCCACCGCATCCAGCATCCCAGGCCTGGACGTCAGCCTCGGATGTCCCCCAGTGCCACCCGTGGAACCCACCCCGGTGCCATCCCTGGTCCAGAAGAAGCCGCCCCGGGCTCCACCCCCGCTGTCCACTCTGCCCACCGCCGCGGGCTCAGCCAAGCTGTCTGGCCCCTCTCCCATCCCCGCCCGCCACACGGGCCAGGAGACCCTGCACAGGTTCCAGCGACAGTCCATCCACCTGCTGACCGAGCTCCTCGCCCTGAAGATGAAGGCCATGCTCGAGTCCGCCTCTGGTAAGGCCCCCTTCTGGCCCAGGCGGGCAGACGCACGGCCACCGCGCCCACCCCGGTCAGGGACAGGCCCAACGTCCCTAAGAGGGGCGTCTGAAATCCAGAATGTTCCAGAATCTGAACCTTCTTGAATTCTGACCTGATAGCACAGGTGGAAAGTTCCACGGCTGATTCACGTGACAGGTCACAGCCAAACACAGGAGCACGACACAGGGGCAGAGCCACGTCCGGGCTGCGGCCAGGGAGACGGGTGCGAATTCTGACCCGAGACCTGGTCCCACCCCAGGAGAGCTGCTCACAGAGGTGCACACATCACACAATTCAGAACCACCCCCAAGTCCAGACACTGTGGGCCCAGGCGCTGGGAGACCCAATAAATACGTAGAAGGAAATCTGTGGTGGCCGCAGGTGACATGGGAACGCACCTCCTCACTGCCTCCTGGTCCTCCCACCCTCTACCGGGCCCCCAGCTCCACAGAACCCGGATTGGGAGGTCAGCAGTGGGGACGATGGGTGGCCAGGGGTCCTGGTGGGAGGAGTCTGGGGTGCTCTGTGGAGGTGGGGACAGGGACCCCAGCAGGGCCGACGGGTGGGGTAGTCTGCAAACCCAGACCGTCAACGGACCAGTCCAGCCACCAACAGGGGAGACAGAAGCATCAGGTGCCTCCCAGGGGAGAGCATCATCCCAAGGTCAAGGTTACCACTAGGGCAGCCTCCGCAGTAGAGGCTGCTGGACGGTGCATTATTCAGATGCCTGCAGCCTCCGCATCCAGCCCCGTGGGTGGGAAGAGACAGTGACAGGGACAGAGGATAAAGCACCCCCTGATGGGTCTTGAGACCCTTTCCTTGACCCCCGGGCTGACCTTAGGGTGTCTGTCCACTCTGCCCTTATTCCCGGGGCCATTTGCAAAAGGTGCTCTGCACGCGGCAGCCTGTGGCGGGAGGGACATGTGTTGCCCAGACCCTTCCTTTAGCAGGCGCCAACCCCATGGACATCACCAGGCGCTTCGTGGAGGCCAGCCAGCTCCTTCACCTCAGTGCCAAGGAGACGGCCTTCGACTACCTGATCGGCACCGTCGGGAGGAACGGCTACAGCGCAGGGCCCGCCGTGAGAGGTGGGCACCCAGGCCTCGGCCAGCCAGGGGCAGGGACCAGGCAGGTGGGTGTGGGGCCTCAGGGGTCCTCAGGTGCCGCAGGGAGGCCGGAGAGTCCCCACCGGGAGCTGCCTGGGGACACCAGGAGGGGGAGATGGAGCTCTTACACACACAGGAGTGGTGACACGTCCCCAACATCAGTGACAGCTAAAAAAAAGGCTTATTTTCTTTCCTCCAGTGATGTTTTACATCTTTTTTTAAAAAATATTTTTTTAGCTGTACTAGGACACAATACCTTTACTTATATTTATGTGGTGCTGAGGATCGAACCCAGGGCCTCGCACGTGCTAGGCGAGCGCTCTACCACTGAGCCACAACCCCTGCCCCCATCTTTTATATCTTAAGCTTAGTAGATCCCCGAGTGTTCATTTTAATTGCTTAAAAGTACTCCCCGTTGGGCTTGGGTTGTGGCTCAGTGGTAGAGCACTCGCCTAATAAAGGTCCATCAACATCTAAAAAAAATTTTAAATTCACTGTTAAAAGTTTTTATAGGGAAACATTAAAAAATATATGTCATTGCTGGACGTGAGACTACACACCTGACATCCCAGTGGCTCCGGAGGCTGAGGCAGGAGGATTGCGAGTTCCAAGCCAGCCTCAGCCAAAGCGAGGCCCTAAGCAACTCAGTGAGACCCTGTCTCTAAATAAAATGCAAAACAGGACTGAGGATGGGGCGCAGGGGGTGAGGGTCCCCCAGTTCAAACCCCAGTACTAAAAAAAAAAAAAAAAAAATTAAGATAATAAACGGAAAGAAGACGCCCCCTCTGCTCCTCCCAGAATCCCTCAGGAACATGTCCGCCATGGGTGTGAACTCGCCTTACCAGCTCATCTACCAGTCTTCCACCGCGTGCCTCAGCTTCTCCCTGTCCACCGGGAAGGAGATCAAGAAGAAAACAGGTGGGGGGTCCCCAGCAGGACCTCAGGGCCCTCTGTGGGGGGCATGTGGCGGGGGGGCTGCCAAGACAGGAGACTACCGACTTCCCTTGGCGGGATGGTTAGACCTGGGCTCCTAATTGAAAGGAACAGATGTGCTAGTCCCTCTGTCCAGGCTCAGATCCGTGTGGCCACAGCCATTGGGGGGACTAGAGTCTCCACAGACGTGTTGGATCCCAAACCCACCCACGGGGCCCTGGTTGATGTCCCCAAATTAGGCTGTGGGATCAATGACCGTCTGTCTTGTGCCCACCCCCCGCCCCCGTGACCGTGACCCTTTCTTTTTCCAATTATTAATTTATAAATTAAATGAGTTGATGCATCTCAGCCACGGGCTACTGGCTGGAGTCCAGGGCGGGGACATCGGGGGTTAGGAGAGGGACGAGCAGGGGCCACCTTCTCGGGCTGGGGACTGTTGGGATCTCTGCTTTGTTAACTTTGAACCCTGAAAGCACTAGTGGCAGGTTCAGTCACTGACCCTCAAGTCATTAAGCCACTTTGAAGGTCGAGTGACTCCTGTGTCCTAAAAACCACTCCCCAACCTCTTGGCCTCCAGGTCCCGGCAAACTCAAGATCCCAGAGGACTCGAGTATGTCACCCCCGCAGCAAACAGTGGGACCCTCTCCTGAAAGTGTGGAGTTCACTGACCCCTGTCCCGAGGCTCGGGAAAAGTTGCAGGAGATGTGTCGCCTCATGTGAGTGCCTGTGACGGGGAGGGGACAGGTGTTCTCAGAAAACCCTCCCTGGCCCAAAGCCCCCGAGTGTTTTGGTTTGGTGTGGTTTTGGGGGAACCACGGATCGAACCCCTGGGCGCCCTTAACCAGGGAGCCACATCCCCAGCCCTTTTCATTTTGGATTTTGAGACAGAGTCTCTCTAAGTGGCTTGGGGCCTCGCTCAGTTGCGGAGGCCGGCCTCAAACCTGCGATCCTCCTGCCTCAGCCTCCCAAGTCACTGAGACAACAAGGTGCCCTTCGTGGTCATGAATTTCTTAACACACTTTGTCATATGCTCTCCCACCAAAAGGAAAAGAAAGCTCTCAACACAAACAAAAAACATTCACAAAGGTGATTCACAGTATTTATGATTGAGCAAGTGACGCAGAATTTATCCCAAGGGGCCAGACCATAAAGGATTTAAAAATCTATTCACATCTCAGTCACATAGGTCCCTGGGGGGTCACTGGGCCAGGACATGGGCAGCTTACCGGCCCCCACCCCCATTTACCTTTGTACTATGACCTTCTGGAAAGAACCTCTCTTCCCGGGACCTCAGGACGGAGGTGGGGGCTGAGCAGAGTGTCCCAAGCCCCCTCCTGTGCACATCCCCACCCCATAGGTCCTTGTCCCCACCCTCCAGCTAGCGGTCAGTCCAGGGCTGGAGTTGGGGGACTGCCACCTTCTAGTTCCTCCCGAGGATACCGAGGACAGGGACGCATACTGGGGACACTTGATTATTGGGGATGCGCTACGGTTTCTGGAAAATTCTTTGGTCTCCTTGGCTGCAGAGAAGCCGAGAGGACCTCGTGGAAAGGCAAGAGCGTCTTCTACCCCATGATCCTCCGCAACTACTCCACCAAGCTGCCCCTGCACCCCTCCAAGGGGGACGCGCAGGCGCTCGGGGTGCAGCCGTCCCACGGGGTGTGCGCTCCGGTGGCGACGCCCTTCCCGCACCAGGCCCCCGCCCAGGCCGTCTCCCTGCTGCGTCCCTCTCAGGAGTGGAAGGTGCCCAGGAAGAGCGCCAAGCTGCACTACTCCTTCTACGACGGCTCCTCCTTCGTCTAATATCCTTTGGGGCCTGTCCCAACCCCAGGGAGTGCGGGGACTGGCCCAGCCTCCGTGGTGACTTGGTGACTTCCACTCGAGAAGCCCGTGGTGGTCCTCCAGGTGGTCAGAGTCCGTCCAGCTCCCTCTCCAGAGGGCCAGAGGACGGAGCCCCAGCTGAGGCCCCCCATGTGCCAGGCCCCAGGTCCCTGCCAGGCTCTTGTCCCCAGGCAGGTCCCAGCTGAGAGCTGAGGACCTTTCTTTGCTTCTCTGTCCCTGTCTCAGTGGTTAACCCCCAGATCCCTGCCCGAAGGACCCCAAAGGTCCACGTCTGCAGAGTCTGAGCCTCACCCCGATGCTCCAGGCCTGGCCCACGGTGCAGGACACCCAGCGTCCCCCCAGGCCTGCTGAGGGACCCGGGTCCAGAGCTCCAGATTTAGAAGACCACACACTTTGAAAAGCCACCTCTCTCTGGATGGCCAGTCCTGGGAGGGGGCTGTACCTCAGGGTGGAGTGAGCAGGGTTACTTTATTCACAGATGGGCACCGAGTATCAGGGGCGTGTGGCACACCCAAGGGGTGGTGCGACCTACTACTTGTCACGAAAGGAATCTGGTGGCAAAGCCTCAAACCAGAGAGGGCTCCCTGGCCTGGATTTAGGGCCCTCCCTCAGGCACCATCTTGGTGCCTTTAGGATCATTCCATTCTGCAGAGCCACAGGGTGGGAGGCCCTGGGGGGACCACAGCTTCATCAGGAACTCACTGGGGACCCAGGTGCCCTCCTTGGAGGAGAGGGCAGGGCTCTGAGCCATCTCGGCTCCTGGCACAGGGGACAAGCTGCCCCCCTGGCTCCCTGGGAACAACCCCCTCACTTGGTCTGGCCTCCTCTCAACTGGGAATTCGGGATTTAAGGGCCCCAAGAAAGAAGGCTCCTTTCTCTGGCTGCAGATGAATCGACTGTCACTGTCCCCTCAGCCCTGCCTCGGGGGCACCCTCAGGTTTTCCCAGCGTGGCAAACTTCTTCTTGAGGGCAGCTGCCTCTGATGGGATCTGGGGCTCCCCATTCCCCCTGTTCCCGACTCCTCACTGCATTGAACAGCAGTGTCCCCCGGAGACCCTCGAGAGGCGGGTCTGTGCCGTAGGGTTCCCTCGGGGTGACCTGGGAGAGGGGGAGCTGCAATCTTTATTCTCTCACCTGTTCCCAAATTCTGAGGCCCCCACCAAGTCTTTGGCTCATTGCAGCTGGCTCAGGTGACACACTCCAACAGGGACCCCATCCCGGCAATGAGGCAGATTTTTTCCTCTGGGAGTCACCAGTGGTCTGAGCTCTGGGTTCAGTCTTTCTGGGTGACTCCGGACTCGTGACTTCGTCTCGGTGCCTCGCTCTGTGTCCGTGATTAGAAGATGAGGAGGTCATCCATGGCCAGGGCGCACATGACCCCGAACCTACTGGAGCAAAAGACGCATCTTCAACAAATGGCGCTGGGAAAACTGGGAATCCACATGCAGCAAAATGGAATTGAGCCCCCGTCTGTCACCATGCACAGAACCCAACTCAAAGTGGATCAGGGACCTCGGATTAGGACAGAGACCCTGCGCCTCACAGAAGAAAAAGTGGGTCCCAATCTCCATCACGTGGGACTAGGCCCCGACTTCCTTAATAAGACCCTATAGCGCAAGAATTAAAACCAAGAATCAGTAAATGGGATGGAATCAACCCAAAAGCTTCTTCTCAGCAAAAGAAACAATACTGTACATCCATCCTCTTATCTACGACCTGAAAACATTTCCCTGAGACTTTGAAGTGCCTCTGCATTCTCTTGACGTCACCCTTTGGTAGATGAATAGTTTTATTGGGGGGCGGTGCTGGGGGCTGAACCCGGGGCCCTCACGAACCCTATCCTGGGTCCCCAGGATATCAAGCGAGCCTCAGCCCCCTATCATTAATTCTGATGAAGTCACTTTTTTGCTGCTGTGGTTGCTTATGTCATTGGATTAACATTTTAGAAACCGTCGCCAAACCCCAAACCATCAAGATTCACCCCTACAGTGTCTCCTAAGAGTTTGAGAGTCACAGTTCTTCCACTTCGGTCTTCGCTGTATTTCAAGTTGATTTTTGCAAGTGGTGTGAGCTCACATCCAATTTCCTTCTCTCGCCTCTGGATAGCCAGTTGTCCCAACACCGTTTGTCCCCAGCGAATGGTCTGGCCCCTCTTGTTAGAATCCATTTGATTTTAGGGCTGGGGATCTAGCTCAGTTGGTAGAGTGCCTGCCTCGCATGCACAAGGCCCTGGGTTCAATCCCCAGCACCCAAAAAAAAAAAAAAAAAAAGAAATTCAATTTATTCTAAACAGAAAGTTTTATTTTTAGTCTGTCAGTTCTAATCCATGGACCTAATCTATATCTAGCTTTATACCAATATCACACTATTTTAATTATTGAAGATTTTTGTGGCTAGTTTTAAAATCAACAAGCGTGAATCCCTATACTTTGTTGTTCTTTTTCCAAAATTTATCATTTTTCGTGGGGGGTCCCTTGCAGTCACACATGAATTTCAGGGTCAGGTTTTCTTACGCTAAAGGGGCCCATGAGATTTTCAGAGGATTTGCTCTGATTCTGTAGACCTTTGAGGAACACTTCCATGAACAATATTCAGTCTTCCAATCTGTAAACACCAGCAATAAAAAGAGGTGATATTGCTGGATTAACAGCATCAAGAAAAAGGAAATACTTAGAAATAAATGACCAAAGACATACAAGACTTGTACGCTGAAAATTACAAATTATTGCTGAGTTAAAGAAGACTTAAATAGAAGGACAGGCACCCCATCATCATGGGGGGCAACCAATCTTCGTGTGTTGGTCCTGCAACTTTGCTGAGTTCATTTATTAGTTCTGCTTTTTCATGGAGGATCCTTTAAGGTTTTTTTTTTAAACCTTTGGTCATGTCATGTGCAAACAAAGATCACTTACGACTTTTCCAATCTTGAGAATCTTGAGGTTTTTTTAAAATTTCTTTTGGTTACCTAATCTGACTGTGGCCGGCACCCCCAGTACAATGTTTAGTGAGGTGCTGAAAGCAGGTGTTTCTGTCAACTTTTTCTTATTTGTGACCAAAAGACCTGATAAAAAAAAATATAGAGGCCATCAGGAGGCTGAGGCAGGAGGATGGCGAGTTCAGAGCCAGCCTCAGCAATTTAGCAAGCACTGGGCAACTCAGCTAGACCCTGTCTCTAAATAATCACAAAATAGGGCTGGGGAGGGGGCTCAGTCCCCAGTACCAAAAAAAGAAACAAATGAAACGACATAGAGGAGGAAAAGTTCATTTTGACTCGCAGTTTCAGAGGTTCAGTCTGTGGTCAGCTGACTCTGTGGCTCTGGGCCACAGAACACTGTGGCAGAAACCTGTGGCAGAGGGAAGCGATAGGACATGTCCACCAGGGACAGACTATAAACCCCAAAGTCACGGCCCCAGTGCCCTACTCCCTCCAGCCACACCCCACCTGCCTACGTTTACCACCCCGTTAGTCCACATCAGTGGGTTAATCCACCCATCAAGTCACACCTCTGATAATCTAATGATTTCACCCCTGAAAATCCTTGTGCTGCCTCACACACGAGCTTTTGCAGAACACCTCCTATCTGAACCATCCCAGCAGACCTCCTTGCCTTGTTTTTGATCTTAGAGGAAGCCCGGTCCTTTCTTTACCCCTGAGTATGATATTAGTTGTATTTCATGAAAGTGGCCTTTATTGTCTAGAGGCGTTCCCTTCTACCCCGAGTGGGTCTGGAGCTTTTATTATGAAAAAGTGTTGGATTTGGTCAGATGCTTTCTCTTCCTCCATTAAAATGACCACGTTTCTCCTCTGTGATCTGTCACCGCGGTGTGTCACATGGACTTCTGTGTGTTAAACCATCCTTGCATTCCTGGGACTAACTCCGCTGGTTTGGGGGCAAAGCCTCTTTTAATATGTTATCGAACTTGATTGGCTGGGATTTCGTTGAGATTTTCTCTGTGTGCATTCACAGGGGATGTTGGTCTCTAGGTGTACGTCTTTGTCTGACTTCGGTATCAGTATAACACTGGCCTCCCGGGATGAGTCAGGAGAAGGGTTCAGGTCAACTCTATTTTGAGGGGAAAGCATTTGGGTAGAATTGGTGTTAAGTCTTCTTTAAATGTCTGGTGGAATTCACCAGTGAAACCTTCTGGTCATGGGCTTTTCTTTGTTATTATCATCATTTTTTTAATCGAATGACTTACTCTCTTTACTTGTTCCAGGTCTAATCAGATTTTCTGATTCTTTTGGAGTTACGTTTGGTAGTTTATGTATGTTTTCAGGAATTTGGTTCATCTTGTCACCTAATATTTTTCCGTAGTTATTCATATTATTTTTTTAAAATTCTTTTTAAAAATATTTTTATAATTATTTTAAAAATATATTTTAAGAATATATTTTTAAATGATTTTTTAAAAAATATATCTGTAAGGTTAATAGAACTATCACACTGTAATTTCTTACTTTAGGAATTTGAGGGTTTTTTTATTTTTTTTTCTCAATCTCTTGGGAGTTTTACTGATCTTGTCAAAGAACCAACCTTTGGATTTGTGTTTCTGTTTTTCTGTTCTCTGTTTCATCTTTCTCCGCCCTGATCTTCCCTACTCCCTTCCTTCTGAGAGCTTTGCTTAGTCCACTCTTCCTCTCCTGGTTCCTGAAGGTAGAAGGAGCCGTTCAGTTGACTGAGATCTTCTCCTTCAGGGTGGGTATCTAGAGCTGTGAACTTGGCTCTGAGCCCTGGTTTCTCTCTCCCCCTTAGTTTTGATATGTCGTGTCTGTTTTCACCCATCTCAAAGGATCTTCCAATTTCCCTCGTGACTTCTTGATCCACTGGTTGTTTAAAAGTGCGTTGGTCAATTTCCACACTTTTTAGGAGGGTTACAGGTTTCCTTCTGTTAATGATTTCCAGTTTCACCCAATTGTGATCCAGGAAGATACTTTCTCTGGTTTCAATCTTTTAAAAATCTATTGGGGGGCTGGGACTCAGTGGTAGCTCACTTGCCTGTCATGTGTGAGGCACTGAGTTCGATTCTCAGCACCACATATAAATAAATAAAGTCTATTAACAACCAGAAAAAATTTTTTTTTAATTTATTGAGACTTATTTTGTGGCTCATGTATTGCCCACTCCAGAGAATTGACTCTGGTCAACTTGAGAATGTGGGTTCTGCTACAGCGTCCTGTACGTTTCCTGTTAGGTCTGTGATTTGACACTGTGTTCAAGTCCTCTAATACCTGATCAATGTTCTGTCTACCTATTACAGAAGGTGAGACAGTGATGTCTCCAACTATTATGACAAAGCTACTTCTTTAATTCTGTTAATTTGCTTCATATATCTCAAAAACAAAAAGGTGTGTATTTATCTACGATGTTAAACATTCTTGAGATATTGACCCTTCTCTGAATCTGTAGTGTTCTTTTTTTGTCACTTGTAAAAATGTTGGACCTGAAGTCTGTTTTGTGTACTATCAGTATTCCCTCTTGGTCCTGATTTGCATAGAATACCTTTGTCCATCATTTCACGTTCACCCAAGTTGTGTCTTTGGATCTAAATGGAGTCAACCTCATAGAGTTGCGACATTTTTTTTTTTTAAACACATTCTGCCAGTCACTGCCCTTTGGTTGGAGAGTTTAGTCCACTTACATTTAAAGTAGTTTCCAATTCGGAAGCACTTAAGTCTGCCACTCTGCTACTGGTTTTCTACATATCTTACGTCTTTTTTTCCCTCCATCATTGGCTCTGTTGTATTTGATTTTTTTTTTTTTTTTTTTGTAGCATGCCGTTTTGATTCACTTCCAATTTCCTTTTCCTCATATACTTATTTTCTTAGTGGTTACCTTGATAGTGGATTTAATAGTGTATCCCCCAAATTTACGTCTATCTGGAACTTTGTGGCACTTTGGTATGATAGCCCTAGGAAACGGGTACTACAATTGATAAAATCGTTTGAGTTAACAAAGACCCTCAATAGTATATAAAACTCTTGTTCCTAAATAGCTCCATCCCTCCCTTTTAAATCGTTGTTATCAGAAACTACACCTTCGTAGGTGCACTCTCTGCCCGTTAACAGATGGGTAATTGTTGCTTTATTATCTATCATTCAAACCATGTTTCAAAAGGAAAAATTTCAACAGAAAATACAGGAATACTCAATTTTAGATTTTTGTTGCGAAACCAGCTATTGATCTTCTTGAAGTTCCCTCTTACGTGAGTCTCTTTCCTCTTGCTATTTTCAAGATTCTCTGCTTTTTTCTTTGGATGGTTTAATTGAAATGTGTTTCAGTGTGAAAGACCGTTGAATTGATCCTCTTGAAGTTGGGATATGTAGATTCATGCCTTTCATCAAATTAGAGGAGCGTCAGCCATTATTTCTTCAAATACTCTTTCTTTCTTCTCTCTCTAGCTTCGTCAGGGGACCATTACGCATGTGTTGGTACACTGGATGACCTCCCAGAGGCCACTGTGGCTTAATCACTTTTTTAAAATTCTCTTTTCTTTCTGCTACCCATTCTTCTGGATAATTTTAACGGACTTATCTTTGAATACAATGTTTTTTTTTTCTTCTAGTACTTCTAACCTGCTGTTGAATCTGTTTAGTGAATTTTTTATTTCAGTACATTCAGCTCCAGGATTTCTCTTAGGTTATTTTTATTATTATTATTATTATTATTATTATTATTATTATTATTATTATTATTTCTATCTGTTACCTTCTTCATTTTTCAGCTGACTGGAATTATTTAGGAGAGTAGATCCCAGTGCCAATCACTGAAGTGTCCAGGGTACCACTTCTGAAACCCCTGCACGCCAGACTGTAGCCACCAACATCGCGTCCTCCCCGGTCAGGACTAAGGCTTCTGGGGGCCTCTTTGGCGGGAAATCGACAGGGAAAATCACTCTTTCTCCTAGATGGGAGGCAGCTTGGCAGAACTAAATGGCTCCAGAGATCAGATCCTGGCTCTGCCACCGATTTCCTTGGGGTGTGACATGGAACAGGTCATTTTCTACAGCGTGGACTCCCCATCAGTAGAATGACCTTGGTCCTTGGTTTCCCGGGACTTGACTGGTGTTAGCACTGAAAGTTCCATGTCCCCCAAACCCGTGAAGCCCAGGAAACTCTTCTGTGTGAGACGGCAACAAGACCATCCACCACAAGGTGGACGGCAAGAAGATTCAGGGAAACTCCCGGGGCCCTGGGTGGTCTCCGGAATCCTGTGGTCGTGCCATATGCAAAGTGCAGACGAGCTCTTGAAGCCAGGGAATGAGGCACCAGGTAGGGGACGTGTAGATTTGCGAGCCTGGGGCCCTGGCGAAGAGAACGGAAGCTTCTGCTCTAGTTGTCCTTGACCCTTCCCGCCAGCTATCCTTCTGGAAACATCGCCATGTGTCAGATCCCGACCTGCTGCCGGGCCAGAGCCATCACCTGTCTTTTTAGTGACACACCTAACTTCCCCTTTCTGGCCCTGTTCAGCGCCGAAGGCCACGGCTACGTCCACTATAACGCAAAGTCCTGGTAAGTGGGCAGGGGGGGGGGGGTCCCAGCCCCTTGGGGTAGTGGGGGGCACTGAAGTGGTGACCGAGAGTCCCTCTTAAGGGAGGACAGGTGGTGTTCAGAGGTCCAGGGAGGTATCGAGGCAGGGCTCCGGCTATGTCTGCAGGAACACAGCCATGGGAAGCCTCGCCCTCGTCGGCTGGGTCCCAGGTACAGCCAATGAGAAGGGCTGCTCCCCAAGTCCTCCTCCACCAGGCACCAGATCACTGAGATCTTGATTGTTGGTGACAGTTCTTCTAGAATCCTTCCTTCCTTCCTTCCTTCCTTCCTTCCTTCCTTCCTTCCTTTTCCTGCATGCTGGGGATTGAACCCAGGGGCCTTCTACCACCAGGCCTTGTTATTTTGAGAAGGATTTCACCGAGTTGCAGAGGCTGGCCTTGAACTTACGATCCCCCCCTGCCTCAGCCTCCCAAGTTGCTAGGATCTCAGCCGTGCACCACCATGCCTGGCTTCCGGAAGAATCCTTTAGTGGTGAAAAGCATCTTGTATCAGGAATGGGTGAAGGAGAGGCATGCACAGCACTTCTGTGTGTCTCTTAAGAGAAGCACATATTTTTCCCCAGCCAGAGGTTGATGTTTGTGTGACTTTCCATGGGAACTGTTCTTTTTTTGCTGGAAGGAGGGTATTAGGGAGTGAACTCAGGGGCACTCGACCACTGAGCCCCATCCCCAGCCCTATTTTGTATTTTCTTGAGAGACAGGGTCTCACTAGGTTGATCAGTATCTTGCTTTTGCTGAGGCTGGCCTCCAACTCGCGATCCTCCTGCCTCAGCCTCCCAAGCCGCTGTCATTATAGGCGTGCACCACAGTGTCTGGCAAGGAACGGTTCTTAAAAGGAATGAGTTATCCCCATATTCTAGGTGTGCCGGTTCCCACTTTGACGCCTGTTATCATACATGTTCAGAGCACAAATTTCATTTTCTCCCTCTTGGGGTTTGGCCTGATGCTGCCAATCCTCCTCAGAATGGCGCTTCCTACAGACCCCCCCAGAGCCTCAACAGGTGCCAAGGGACCTCAGAACATCCTAGGCAGGGGACATGAAGCTGGCATCAGCCTGGGGCGGGGTCTGGCAGCGGCTTCTCACTCCAGGGTCTCTCCCAGCTCCCCGAACGTCTTGGTCTTCGATGATGAAGGCGGGACCACCAATGACCACAAGGGCTACATCGTCCACAAGTGGAGCTGGACCTCCAAGACGGAAACTCTGCTCTCCCTGGAGTACAAGGTAGGGCTGGGCGGTGGGGGTGGGCGGCAGCCTTCCAAAGCCTCCCCCCAGGAGTCTGTGGTCTCGATGGGAGGTTCCAGGTTGGTGGGCAGTGGTCCCCGTTTGGCTGAAGTGGACTTTTTTCCCAGCTTACCGTCACTCCTGGCTGCTGTGCTAATGATAATAATTGCTTTTGCTGAGGCTGGCCTCCAATGCGCAATCCTCTGACTGGCACTATTCTTCCTACTTAAATTTTACTATGAATATTATTATATTTTTATTGTAAAAATATCCTTTACTTTTTGGGGTGGGGATTGAACTCAGGGGCACTCGACCACTGAGCCCCCTCCCCAGCCCTGTTTTGCATTTTGTGGAGAGACAGGGTCTCACTGAGTTGCTTATCGCCTTGCTAAGTGGCCGAGGCTGGCCTCCAATTTGCGATCCTCCTGCCTCAGCCTCCTGAGCTGCTGGGATGACAGGCGTGTGCCACCGCGCCCAGCTCCTTTACTTTATGAAGCAACAATTACAGTAGCTGGTGGCTTTCTTTCGAAGACCTATTTCGTGACAGTAGTGGAAGTCAGCCATTCTGTGCTGGTCTCCCCAGGTCTTTGTTTTTATAACTTTATTATTAAAAAAAAAAAAAAAAAAAAAACCCGGGGAGTCAAGATAGACGGCGGATGATCATGAACCCATATTTCACTCATTGGATTATCTGGCTAGTCATTCCTCAGAGAGTCATTACGTAGCAAGTGATACTGAATTTGTAATATTAAATGGCTTTAATATATTAACAAAGCCATTATATGTGCTCAGGGCTTTACCAAGGGCAGTTTCTCATCGCTGGTGCTAGTGACACTTGGGGACAGGTCCTTCTTTATTATCCCTGCCTCACGGGATGTTTAGCAGAATCCCACCGGGTGCCAGGGGAGAGCCTCTCCCAGTGGGGACAACCAAAGCCATCTCCAGACATTGCCAAATTTGCCTCCAGGGACAAAATCCCCCTAGTTAGGGGTCACCAATCAGGGGCAGGCACCCCAGCCCATGCCGAGTGTCTCCTCACAGTGCCCAGCAGGGACGAGGCCCTCTGCAGTTAGTTGTGTCATGACCGGGTCCTTGGCTCTGCATTTCACAGTCACCTTTGGGCTTTGACTGAAATGCAGATCCGAGGCCCGGCCTCCAGGAGGCTCTGACTCCACAGGTCTGTCATGAGGTGGGCACTTTGGTCGCCTTCTCCAGAGTGTGGCCAGTGCCCAGCTGGGTTCCTCCTATTCAGTCTAGGGTGGACTATCACGTGGTCATCACGTTTAAGTCTCCATAGCCTCGTGAAAACCTTGTCTCCACGGAGACCGCAAATGGCTTGAGGGCAGGCAGCCTAAGTCCTAAGTCTTCAAGAGCTCACAATTGCTTTGCCAGGCACGGGGGCACACGCCTCTGATCCCAGCAGCTTGAGAGGCTGAGGCAGGAGGATCTTGAATTTAAGGCCAGCCTCCGCAGTTTAGCCAGACCCAATCAGAATAAAATACAAAGGCTCTGGGTGCAGCCCAGTGATAGAGCGCCCCCTGGTTTCAACCCTGAATACTACAAGAAGAAAAGAGTTCCCAAGCTTTTTGTGAATGAAAGGAGGGACCCAGGTGCTTAGTATGACGCAGTAGGCGGAGAGAGGAAGAGGTATGGGTGTCAGGCTGGGGACGGTGCATGCTGTCTCGGAGCCTTTGTATTTACCCAGATATTGACCATTTCGGGGGTCCCTGGTTCCTCCCTGAAAACCCCCAGGTCCCCTCTGGGGGAATCATCTAAGTCTTCCTCCCCTCCCCCCCCCCCCCCCCCCCCCCCCCCCCCCCCC